AAGACAGATCCATTCATCTTCCTTGTAATGTGTAGGATGATAAAATCAGTGTTGAAGGTCACTTTTCCACAACAATGGTTCTCAGATTTGGTGAGTTCGTGTAGGAAGCCTCACAAAGAACCGTCACATCTTTCATACGCAAGTGAGAAACATACCTTACACACTCTGGCCACTCTGGATATCCAAGGATCAGCTTCTGGACTCGTGTCTGAGTTTTTCTCACGGAATAAGACGTATAGCTTCTCATTCAAGGGGGCATTCTTACGCTGGGCCAGAAAACTGGAAATAAAAGTGGGTTCTGTGGGGGGGGGGGGGGGGGGAGGGGGAGGGGGTCGGGATATCTGAGCATATTTCAGGCATGTAAATAAAAACTGAGCAATGAAAAGACAAGGTAACAAAAAAGGGGGGTTTGGGGGGGGGGGGGGGGGGAGAGTATGAATGAGTCATGAATTATGTCCTTACTCATTACACATTTTTACTCATATCACTGAAACTCAACTTTATCTTCAAATGAGAAGCTTGATTTATGAGAGAAACAAGGACTAGGCTGTATTTTCATAGCTGCAGCTTGGGAGAGGCAAAATGCTGACTGGTCAGCAGCTGAGCAACTTGCTTGCTCATCCCACTTTGTCCACAAACATACTTTACAGTCACTAAAGTGAGTTTACTATTAACTATAATTAGAGCATTAGAGGCAAGATGTTGATTAAGCAGAGCAAGATCTGGGTGATAATTCACCCAAAATGAAAAACTGGTCATCATTTACTTACTCTCAATTTGTTCCAAACCTGTATGAGTTTCTTTCTTCTGTTGAACACAAAAGAAGTTATCTTGAAGAATGTTGGTATCCAAACAGTCTCTGACAGCCATAGTATATTTTCCATACTATGGAAGTCAATGGGGACCCGCAATTGTTTGGCTACCCAAATTTAGATTCTTATATTCAGCAGAAGAAAGAAACTGGGTTTGGGAATACAGGTTTGGAAAAACTTAATGATGACCAAATTTTCATTTTTGTGTCAACTGGTCATTTAAAGGCGAAGTTCACCCAAAAATGAAAATTGTCCCATGATTTACTCACTCTCAAGCCATCCTAGGTGTATATGACTTTCTTATTTCAGACTAAATCAGTCAGAGTTATATAAAAAAATATCCTGGCTCTTCCACGCTTTATAATGGGAGTGAATGGCTGTTGAGATTTTGAAGTCCAATAAAGTGCATCCATCCTTCATAAAAAGTGCTCCACACTTAAGGCCTTCTGAAGTGAATCAATGCATTTGTGTAAAAAAAATATTCATGTTTAAAACTTTATGAACCGTAATCTCTAGCTTCTGCTAACTGTCATACTTTGTTCACGAGAGAGAGACTTTCCAGCGGATGATGCAGGATGTAGGCGTAAACTCCAATGAGAAGTGGCAACACAGAAGCTCAGAAGAGAGAAAAACAAGACACCAGTCATGAATTAGAAGTACAAAACGAGGATTTGTAAATACAAATGTTGGAGGATTTCAATATAAACCAAGAGGAGACTGGTTTCCCTTTGCTGCAAGCAACACTTTGTTCTCACGAGATTAGCATATTCTCCATGGTTACGCTACGCATACTTCATCCGCTGGAACGTCACTCTCTCGTGAACGCACGTACGACAGTTAGCGGAAGCTAGAGATTACCATTTATAAAGTTTTAAATTTTAATATTATTCTTACACAAACGCATCGCTTCACTTCAGAAGGCCTTTAATAACCCCCAGAGCCATGTGGAGCACTTTTTATGATGGATGGATGCACTTTATTTTGCATTATAAAAGCCATTCACTGCCATTATAAAGCATTTGGACGAGCCAGGACATTTTTTTTATATAACTCTGATTGTATTCGTCTGAAAGAAGAACGTCATATACACCTAGGATGGCTTGAGGGTGAGTAAATCATGGGGTAATTTTCATTTTTGGGTGAACTATCCCTTTAAATCTTATCTTTGGGGATATTTGGAGATGTTCTCGATTAGAAAAAAATATTTATACATAAAATAAGTATTCATATATATAAATTAAACAAGTTTTCTTCTAGTAATTTTAGTGAAAATTGTGTGATTCAACCAACCTGAGACCCATTGATCATACATCCATACGCTGGTTCGTTTTCCAGCTTTCCTGCGAAACTGCAGCAGGGTTCCATCACTGTATAGAGGAGCTGCCGCATAGAGATCTCCATCTGTATATAACCAAAGAAAGCCTTGGTGTTACGCTAAATAAGCAACTACAATCCTTCAGCTCATTCACAAAGCCTAAGCAGATCAAATCATTAAGCTGCTTGTGCTCCCACATACCTGCCACCAGCGACAAGGAGTTTTGTGAACTTGTATGAGGTGAGATTCCCGTGCCGTCTACAACCTCTGTGGAATGATTGCTTTCTCTGGGAAACTTCCGGAAAGAGACATTATTAGATATCAGAAATATGGCAAGCCATTTGAACATTTATTAATTTGTAGGATATGAATTCTAGATAATATAGATTAGATATTCTAGACTACAAAATGCATTTACAGAGCACAAGAATAAACATTTTTGACTAGCTCAAACTGATTTTTTTGCTATCAATAATTTGTATATCTTTGGGTAATTATGCAATTGTTTAAATTAAGAATTCCTGTTTTACTATAGGAGATGTAATTACTGATATCAAAAAGGGTTTTTAATATCAAAAAAGATGTTTTGATAAAACTGAAAATCAAACTATTATACAAAATTCATATCCTAGGAATGATTAAAAGCCAAATTGGCTTGCCATCCAGCGTCAACTAATAAGACATTGGTTCTCATTCACATATTTCTGCATACAAATGTGAATCGTCACACATAAATGACTATTTATGACTAAATTTTATTCTAAACTTACATCAAATTTACAATGAGACCACACATCTGCAACTTGTAAAGTCGGCAAATGCGAGGTCCGAAACATGATTGCATATAGTCTAAGCATGTATAAAAACGGTTTGCTGTGTTTTAATTTGTTTTGAGAAAATGCAAATTTTTGAGAATTTTCTGTATTGATTTTTCTCAGGTGTTTTACCCATATTTTGATTTTTTTCAAATAGAGAGCTACGCTTTTTTCTCAGCATTCTCTTACTAAGCCACAAGGCAACATTTAGCAGTTCTGCGATTCTAAATGTGTAGCAGAGACCATGCCAAAAATGTTGCTCTGTATATTTATTTCTTACCAGTTTCCAACACAGTGGCTGTTCTCCATTCGTCCCACATACAAATGTGTAGTCTTCAAATCTTTCAATTACTGTCACTACATTTTCACAGGAGCCCTGTATAGATGAAGCAATATCAGTAAGACTGTCAAACTACAAAACTCAATTTGTTCTTTCTTTTTTCAACAGAATTATAAAACTCACCTCACCACATCTTGGATTCAGAGTAAAGTTCTAAAGAAAAAAAAACATTTGATAAAAAATTTAAATATTTTATTATGATCTTGGTCACAAAATCTACTGAACTAAATCTCAAAATGGATGTAAAAGTATTTTAAATTCAAGAGATGAGACTATGCGTACACAAATACATACCAAAATGTGTATAAAGCAACCATGGGGATTATTTTTTCACTAATCAATCACACAAATAACATTTCAATTATTTATTGCAACCATAGCAACAGATTGGATTTGTTGTTTGTGGAAATAAATCTTTCATGAACACCTGAAACAGGCCTTTTCATTCAAGCTGACACATTAAATATGGACACAGCTGTCTGTGTGCGTCATTGCCTAGTTACTGAAATCTATCCACAATATATAATTTAACGTAGGCAAGACTTACTGTCACAACCACAGCCAAAAGTCAGAACTCTAAATTTAACCATGGTTAGAATATCCCTTTGGTCAATGTTGAGTTACTTCAACTTATGATATGCAACCGTGCTTTATATTCCAACTTTATTTTTTATAATAAAATTATTCTATATAAATGTAATGTATATATTTTTTAATCTTTATAAATGTACAATTATTTGAATAAATAATTTCAACAAAAATATCACAATTCGACAGTAATTATAAATACATTGTAAAATGTCTAATGACCAGTTCCAGTTTAGTACCTCCACAAGCTGACGACTGTCTACATCAAAATGTAGAACATGATTTATTCCTCCTACAATCAGACTTTTTGATCCTTCCTGATGGAATAAGGCTGTATGACTATAATTTCTGTTGTATAAAAGAGGAGCATCATCTGGGGGGGAAATAAACAAATCTGGGTATCTGGGTATAGTTACATTCTCTAGTAAGACATAATATGTTTAGATATTGTCTCATTTGATTACGTAAAACAATTCAAGTCTACTGTATAAGTGCATTTCTGAATAGACTACGTGTGTGTAAATAATTAGTCTGATTACAGAGGAAAGATGTAGGCTGTTTTTATCTTACCTTGCTTTAGAGTTAATCTGGGATTATAAGAGCAAAACACGCAATGAAAGCAAACTCCATGGACAAGCAAAGCATACGCCAAATTTCCCTTGATGTGGACAGAGAAATATCGCCGTTTTAGGATCATGGTCCTACACAATCTATTCGCTCAGAGTAAAAAAAACACATCTCATCTCCAACAGTTTCAAACGAAGAGAGTCGGGATCGTGAACGCCTTGTAGCGTACCAGCAACTCCACCGGGATACATCCAGCTGCAGCCCGCAGCCCGCACGTCTCAGACCACACGATCCAGGCCGGAAGTAAGGCGAACCATATATGGTCAACGGTGGATCTGTCGCAGTTTTGTAGTGCAATTTTCTTTTGTTAGATGTAATATGAGCTATCCCAAGAATTTTGATAGGATTTACAATATTTAATAATAATAATACACAAAATACTAAAAAATTATATTAAAAAAACATTTTATTTTTTAAATTGATATTAATTTTGATCAATCTAGTAAACCGTAACATTTTTTTGACTGTAGGTTATAATGAGATGTTTAGGTCATGTTTGTTTTGTAACAAATACTTAAAGACAGAGAATGGACCTTTGATGTCAAGAATACTTTTTATTTTAAAATTCAAATTGAACATGGAAAAAGTGCAACATTCTAATAAAAAAAATAATAATTCAACAACCAAAAATAGAACTAAAATTACAATTTAGAAATGTAATTGTAATATAAAAAAAGAAAAGCTTTTGAAAGTCTTATACTTTTCACTCTTCAAAAGAAGAATTCAATTTTAATCCCATTTTTTCATGGCATTCAACTCAACTAAAAAAAAAAAATCTCCATGTCTTCCCTGAATGAAAAAAGCTTTTGAAAGTCTTATACTTTTCACTCTTCAAAAGAAGAATTCAATTTTAATCCCATTTTTTTCATGGCATTCAACTAAAAAAAATCTCCATGTCTTCCCTGAATGAAAAATTTAATGTGAATGGGTCTCTGCAGTCTTCCACATCTTTGATGAGATTTTGGAGGGCCTTTTCCTTGTCATCCTCTTCCATTCTGAGGAAAAGAGGCTCTTTCACAGGGCCCCTGAACACGTGTCTATTGGCATGTATCCATTTTACAGCTAGTTTCATGTGTTTGATTATAGTGAGCTCCTTCATTACAAAATGTCAAAGAATAATACAATTTGACTATTTCATATAAATTACACATTTGCAACATTAAGCCAACATTTTGAACATTTGAAGGCAAACCTTATGAAATGTTTCATACTTTTAGATATGCTGTTGTAAATGCTACTGCTTATATTAGCTTTTAATATACTGTTTTATCCTGATTAAAGCTTTAATACAGTACGGCAACTGCACTCGCGCATGTCATAGCTATGTGAAAACAAGTGTATAATTGGAACAGTTCATTGTCGAAGCTGAGCTGAATGAGAGAGAGAGATGCAGAGCAGGGGAACGCGAGGAACAGTATTAAGAACCGCTGCTTTAGAACATTGATTTTGAAACTTGTGAATCCATTAGAATCGTTAGAAGACAGAATCGCGGTTCATATATAAATAGTTTTTTATGTGCACCTCTAGTTTTCTCTTCCTCTTCTCTAAAGCAGTGCAGCATGGCCTCGCCCCCTTTGCTGCCTTTTCCCGAGGGCGGGGTTTATCTGGGTTTGTGATGTCACAAACCCAGGAAGTAACTCGTTGTAGTCCCTACCAGCCATTTTTGTAGGCATTAAACTGCCAGAATTTTAAAAGACTTTCAGCTTCATAACTTTGCTTCGTAACAGCAACATTACACACTAAATAACTAATTAAAAAAGTGAAATCACAATGAACCACCCCTTTAAATATTTATTGCATTTTTGACTGCATTTCAGTAAAAAACTGTAATATTGTAAAATATGACTACAATTTAAAATAATTTTCTATTAAAAATATTATTTATAATGTTAAATATTTAATACAAAACATTTCATATAAAATATAAATGTTCTATTTAAAATAAAATATTTTCTATTTAAATATATTTTCAAATACAATAAATCAATTTCTTGAATGTTCAGCACCATTACGTCAGTCTTCAGTGTCACATGATCCTTCTAATAATTCCAATGTGCTAGAGACTACCATGTGCTAATTTCCCAAATATTCACCGTTAATAATTTGCACGTGCGTTGTGCGTTTACGTGTAGTTTAAACTTTCGATTTACAGTAATTTGTCTTTTCAAAAGATGACTTTAGTGCGACTTAAAATCGTACGATTTTAGTCCGATTTTTGTGAAGACCTAATAATATAAATGTAGCGCATGTTTGGCATCTGCGTCGTGCGCATATGCTCCGAAGACGTTTGTTTTCTTTGCAAAAATGTTGTAAATATATATATATATATGTATGCAATATATGAGTTACTGTTTATCTTTAAAGGAACAACGTATATAGGTAAATTCAGTCTCTCTCTCTCTATATATATATATATATATCCTATATATACTATATATCAGTATAGTCCAGTAGATGGCGAAACTGAACGGTAAAGCTGGCTTGCCACCGTTACTTACCAGAAGAAGAAGAAGAAGAAGAAGAAGAAGAAGAAGAAGAAGATCAGCTGACTGACTGACTGAATATATGTCAAAATGGTATTATTTATCTTATTTCTTATTGAACGATAGCTCTGTTTATTCTAGTTTCATATTTGAAGCCATTACAGTTATAATATGTGTCCGCTGTGATTAGTGGATAGTTATTTATTTTATTTTGTATGTATAGCGAACGCTAACTTTAATCGTTTAGAGTAGGCTACGTCGTAAAGGCTAAGCAATAGACGTAAACATTCTTAATAAACTCATTTTGCTGCATTCTTTTATTTCAGAGGTTCCGATTTTGTGGAGATCTGGACTGCCCAGACTGGGTCCTTGCAGAAATGAGCACCTTAGCTAGAATAGTAAGTCTAACGTTAATAGGTGTTCTGTTTTGCGTCTGCACAAAACTGACTATAAGTGATTCTCTTGATTGCTGTTCTTCACAGTCGAGCGTCAAGATGAAGCTTCTGTGTGTGCAAGTCATTAAAGATCTGCTTGATGAAGGCATCGATGTAAGACAGCAGTCGTGTTAGAATGTCTACTAAATAGATATTCCTCTAACTACTACTCTATAATTATATGTTTTCAGTATGACAAAGTTTCGAAACTAACCTCAGATGCAAAGTTTGGTGAGTAGAAACCGGTTTTTGTGTCATGTGATCTCAGTAATAGTAAAGTGTGAAATGAAAATGATTATAAATCAAGTTAGGTGTTCTTAATATAATTCTGGCCAGTACTGATCGCTTTAAAAATTCCCCCCCCACGTTATGGCTGATATTAAAATTGTATAATGTATATTAAATATTAAATAATGTAATATTAAATATAAGGCCAAATATAAAAACTAAAATGAGTAGTTTTAAATGCTTAAACGTTTTAGCAGAGTGTCCTGCTTTAAATGATTCTAGGAAACATTTATACTCCGAAAGTATATTAATAGACATTTTTAAAAGAAATTTTATCCTGGGGAAATATTAGTATTTTGATCAAATATAATTTTGAAAGATTGTATATGATTGTTATTTTTATTTAAATATTTGTTATTATTTTGTTTGTACAAATAATATTCCATTTATTTTATAAAATTCATTTAAGTATTGTTATTAAGACCATTTTAAATCGTATTATTCTTGAGTTTGCCACGAATGATTTGATGCTGATATGACAAATAAATAAATGATAGTTTTAAACTATAGCCTACAAGTGAATTTAGGCTTCACAACATTATAACGTATAATCTATGGAAAATTAATATTTGAGATTTGCTAAAGATACATTTAACAATGTAAATTATTAGTGTTTTTAAAAATGAATTGTAAGTGAACTTTACATAACGTCAAAGGTAATCTATAAATGTAAAAACTGAAGAAATGAGCAGCACAATGAAATATCAATTATATGCCTTTTTTTTAAATGTATGAATTAATATTTACTGATAATTATTGTAACTTATTTAATATTGGCTGATAAATGACAATGGTGCTGATATTTTATGCAACCTACATGAATGCCTTATCTGTTTATATTTAATGCCATAGCTCTTGCTAATTTGTCTGTCTGTTTTTATTTAATTTTTTCCCAGAAAGTGGAGACGCTAAAGCCAGTATAGCAGTGCTGAGTTTCATTCTGTCCAGTGCTGCTAAGCATGACGTGGACAGTGAATCTCTTTCCAGTGAACTACAGCAGCTTGGCCTGCCTAAAGGTAAGGATAGGATATCTGCTTTATCAACTTTTTCAAAGTTATACGTAAAACTCAACACATTTACATGTCCACTTATAGAGCACACCACCGGCTTGTGTAAATCATATGAGGATAAACACATCGCTCTACAGGAAAAGCTGAGGGAGAGCAGCCTGCGCTGTAAGTATTTCCAAAAAACAGAAGAAAAAATAGAAATACAGTCCAGATCATTTATATCCTGATGCATGTCATGTGTCAGTGGGTGGTCTGGAAGCAGTGAACTGGCGGGTCGATTACACCCTGAGCTCCAGTGAACTGAAGCAAGTGAATGAACCCACAGTCCAGCTCAGACTTCAGGCTCAGGACCCCGAGACAGACTCCACACAGACCACCACTGTCTCCATCACTGCGGACAAGTTCAGAGTACTGCTAACAGGTGACTGATCAGTACGGTTTATGCATTTGAATTGCATATAACATTTCCATCCTTTCGCTTTAAAGTAATAAATGCAATGCGATGCATATTTATCAGTCATACACACATGAAACTGGTAATAGTTCTGTAATAGTACTAATAAATGGAATGTGTTGTAAAGAAATAGTTGACTAAAAAAATGAAAGTGAGCAGAAAATGTACTCACTCTCAGGCCGTCCAAGATGTAGATGAGTTTGTTTGATTATCGGATCAGATTTGGAGAAATTTAGAATTGCATCACTCGTTTACCAATGGATCCTCTGCAGTGAATGGGTGCCGTCAGAATGAGTCCAAACAGCTGATTAAAAAAAAAAAATCACGATAATCCATAATTAATCAACACGACTCCAGTCCATCAGTTAACATCTTGTGACCTGAAAGCTGCTTGTTTGGATGGAAATGTTACGCAATTCAAATGCATAAATCTTTAATTTAGACTGAAATATTTTTAAGTGTATATTATATTATGCAGTTATTGTAAATGTCCTTGTTTTTCTTTTCCAGAACTCAA